ACCAAGGTCCTCTCCAAGAGCAGTCAGTGCTCTTAACTGCTGAGCCATCTCTTCAGCCCCCAGAGCTGATCTTCTTAAAGGGAGGGATTCTAGATAGGCTGACTAGACCTCAGTAGATGAACTTGCACTGAGGCACATCTGGGGACACTAACTTAACAGGATAGGCCTTAACACAAATGACACAATGTATGAACTCCAGTGGGTGTGCATGTGAGTGGGGAGCTATGCCAATGGGGAAGGGGGTACAAATTGTTCCATATGAAATACACAAAAATTCAATAAAAATTTACAAAAATATTTTGATGGAGCTCAAAAACAAAAACAATAAAAAAAAATTTGAGACAGAATCTACAAACTTCTGGATAGCCTGGAACCTGCTATGTAGACCAGGCTGGCCTCAAACTCACTGAGATCTTCTTGTCTTTGCCTCTTGAGTGCTGGGATTAAAGGTCACCATGTCCAGCTTTTTTTTACTTGTTTAAAAATTTTATCTAGAGGCTCAAGAGATGGTTCAGTGGTTACAGTACCTGTTGCTCTTGCAGAGGACCTAGTTCAGTTTCCAGCATCCATGTTGAATGCTTCACAACTACCTGTAACTCCATCTCCAGGGGATCTGACACCTTTTTCTGGCCTCCACAGGCACCTGCACACACATGCACATATTCCCATCCCCATAGTAACACACACACAATTTAAAATGAAATAAACCTTTAAATAACATTTGTGTGTGGCATATGCCATGGTACTTCTGTGGAGGTCAGAGGGCAACTTTCAGGAGCTGGCTCTCTTTTTCCCCATGTGGTACTTGAGGATTGAACTCATGTCATCAGGGTTATCAGCAAGCACCTTTACCCTGAGCCATCTCTCCAGCTCATTCAAAAAAAATTTTTTTACCGATGGGCATGGTAGTGGCACAGGGACAATCTATTCTACAGAGTGACTTCCAGGCCAGCCAGGGCTATACAGTGAGACTCTGTCTTAAAAAAAAATTTTTTTTAATTCTTTGACAATTCCATACATAAATATATTTTGGTCCTTTTCACCCTCTGTTTCCTTTGCTCACCCCCTTCCAGTCCTGTGAGCCCCTTCTTCCAACAAGTCCCTCTCTTATTTTTATGTCTTTTTTGTGGTCCACTAAGCATCATTAGGGTTGCCTGTGTGAAGGTGGGGAGTCACTTACTAGATCACGAGCAACTTACCAGGGGTTATACCACTGAAGAAAACCTCCATCTTCCCCAGCAGCTACTAGCTGTCAATCACGCCTCAGGAAGGGCGGGGGCGGGGGCAGGGGCAGTGTCTCATGAGCCCCACCCCACATCTTGTGCAGGTCTCTTGCAGGTCACCACAACTGCTGAGAGTTCATGAGTGCAAAGGCCACATGATGTTCAGAAGACAGCATGTAACAGCACTCCTCCCCATCCTATCTTACATCATTTCCCTAAGCCTTGCAGGGAGTGATATACACTCCCATCTTAGTAGTGATCTTAACCGACTGTCAGCAGAGCTCTAACAAAGCTTACCACCTGCTCATTGCCCCAAGGAGAAGTCAGTACCCTCATTTGTCTCATTATGGCCTCCTGGGAGTCTGGCCCTTGCAATCCCACTGCAGACAGTGAACATTCGGTATCTGCCTGCCTAGCCACACTGCCAAAGCAGCCTTCCTTTACCTTCTAGGGAAATAGCAATGGCCCTATTTCTCACTGTGAGGCAGCACTGGGAAGCGTGAGGAGTCACCAGGACAGACACTTGAGGCAGGGCATGTTGCCAGCATCCTCCTTGGAAGAGAGGCTGATCAGCCAGCCAAGCAGGCAGAGGAACACAGACCCAGGTATGTCTCTGAGGGCACAGAACTCAGACCTTCCTGCCTGCTTCTTAACTGCTCCCTAACATGTCGGACAGACCCAGGCCTTATGGGACACTCCCTCTACTGTGGACAAGGTAGAGTCCCAGGACTTGCACGTCTTCTGGAGTGGGAGGCCCAGGCACTGGGCTCTGGGGGCACAACTATATTGTAGCTATCCTCCCCAAACAGATCTGACTGGACAGCAGATCTAAGTCAGGGTTGTGACAGTAACACCATCAGAGCAAGTGCATTATTGATTACTTGATCTTCCATGAAATTAGGGCTTGAACCCAGAGTCTTACAAACACTGGGTGAGCATTTTACACTGAGCCCTGACTCTAGAGAATCCACCTCACTGGGGGATTCTAGAAGGGGTTCTACCAATGAGCCACACCCTAGCCCTTCTCTGGGGACTCTAGGCAGGTGCTCTACCACTGAGCTATACCCCAACCCTCTTTTAATTTTTAGACAATCTCACTAAATTGCCCAGACTGGCCTTAAGTTGTGCACCTCCTGCCTTAACCTCCCAAGTAGCCAGGATGACAGGCCTGAGCAACCAGATTTGGCTACTAATGAGCTCTTTAAAATCCAAAATGGTGCTTGGAGAGATGGCTCAGCAGTTAAGAGCACTGGCTGCTCTTGCAGAGGGCCCGGATTTGATTCCAACATCTACATGGCAGCTAACATAGCATCTATGACTCCAGTTCCAGGGGATCAGATGCCCTCTTCTGACCTTCGTGGGTAGTGCAACACGTACATGCAGGCAATACACTCATATACATAAAAATAAAAAAATATTTTTTAAAATGGGCTACGATATAGTTCATCAGTTGGGAGAGTCCCCACCTAACATACGCAAGGCCCTGAGATCACTCCTTAGTATTACATAAACCAAGTATGGCAGCACACACATGCCTTTAATCTCAGCACTTCAGAGGTAGAGGCAAGTTCAAAGACAGCCTGGGCTGCATTAAGGCCCTGTCTCAAAAAACACAAAAGTAGCCAGGCATGATGGTGCACGCCTTTAATCCCAGCACTTGGGAGGCAGAGGCAGGCGGATCTTTGAGTTTGAGGCCAGCCTGGTCTACATAGTGAGTTCCAGGACAGCTGGGGCTACAGGGAGACCTTGTCTCAAAAAGACAAAAAAAAAAAAAAAAAAAACCCACAAAAATAGCTGTGTGGTGGTAACACACCTTTAATCCCAACACTTAAGAGGTAGAGGCAGATCTATGTGAATCCCAGGGCTACAGTGAGACCCTTTTAAAAAAAAACAAAACCAGCCGGGTGTGGTGGTGCACGCCTTTAATCCCATCACTCGGGAGGCAGAGGTAGATGGATCTCTGAGTTCAAGGCCAGCCTGGTCCACAGAGTTCCAGGACAGCTGGGGCTACAGGGAGACCCTGTCTCAAAAAGACTAAAAAACAAAACAAAACAAAACAAAAACCAAGCAATAATAACAAACAACCATAAAAATTGCCAGGTGTAATAGCTCATTCTAGTAATCCCAGAATTTGGGAGGTGGAGGCAGAAGGTGGTGAGTGTGAGGCCAGCCAAGGTGACAGTGTTGATTCCCTATCAAAAAAAAAAAAAAAAAAAAAAAGACAAATGTCCACACAGACTCCTGCCTTGAATACTACAGAGGCTTCATTCATAATAGCAACACAGTGAAATTACCCAGATGTCCACCAGCTGGGCCAAGGCTCTCAAAGCCATGCTGCCCTGCCAAGTCCACCCACTTTACTAGCCTAGTGGACTTAAATGTTTGCCACAGGCAACCCTTTAATGATTGTTACAGAAAAGTCCCTCAGCTTGCCAAAGGAACAAATCACCACATTTTTTTGTTTGAGAGACAGGGTCTACCCTGTACCTCCAGCTGGTCTCAATCTCATAGAGCTCCACCTGTCTCTGCATTCCCGAATGCTGAGATTAAAGGCACCTGGCAAATTAACACACTGTTGAGCATTTACTCCATAAAGGCAGGCACCTTGGGTGACCATTAGAAGCCAGCAGCAAGGTGGGTGTAGTGACTGTAATCTCAGTATTAGAGATTCCAGGCCAGCCTTGGCTACCTGGTGTGGCCCTGTCTTTATGTGTGGGTGTGTTCATGTAGGCCATGTGGGCCACGTGTGCATGTGGGCCAAAGGACAACTGCTGGTAGTATTCCACAGATGTCATCTACCTTGGTTTTTGAGTCTGGCCTGGTGCTGGCCAAGTAGGCTAGCCTAGCCAGCCAGCCCCAGGGATCATCCTTCTTCCACCTCCCCAGCCTTGACATAATCGTGTCCTGTTTTGTTTCCCTTTCTTTTTTTTTGGGGGGGGGGGGGTTCCAGGGATCCAACTCAGGTCCTTATACTTACCTGGCAAGCACTTTATCAACTGATTGTCTCTCCAGCCTCAAGACCCTTACTTAAAAATGCCAGGGGCTGAAGAGATGCCTGGCAGTTAAAAGATTCTGCTGTTCTTGCAAAGGACCTGAGTTCAACTCCCAGCATCAATGTTGGGCAGCTTACCACCGCCTGTAACTCCAGCTCCAGGGGATCTGATGCCCTCTTCCGACCTCCGCAGGCACTTGCACACTCATGCACATAACCGCACAGAGACACATTTATAAAAATAAAAGCCAGCACTATAGTAATTCCCAAACTTAGGAAGCTGAGGTCGGTCGGTCTGGGCTACATAGTGAATTCCAGGCCAGAGTGAGACCCTGTCTCAAAACGGGGTAAAAAGGCAAAGAACAAATCAGTATTTGCAAAACTGTGCATGTGAGAAAAGGCGGCCGCGGGAGGACTCTCCCCGGGGAAGACTTGGTTGGCTTTTATCAACCGCAGCCTGCGGTGAAGGACATCCGGGGCTTCCCCCGAAAACTGCACACAAGCAGTGAAGGCGACGTGGACAGGGGCCCACCGCACTTTCAGCGGGGTCAGTTCTCCTGGGTCCACTGGATCCCACCTGGAGCTAGGTGGGGTTAGGATAGCGGCGCAGAACCCTAAACCCAAGGAGACTAAAACGCGACTCCTCCCCAGGCGCTGCCCGCCCTACCAAGGCGCTACCGTCCCGCCCACTGACGTCAGCATGCTCCGCCCTTTGCCATCCCTCTGGCGGCCCGCCCCGCCCTTTGCGGTTCGGGGCCGTCAGCTGCCTCATCATTGGTCGGGAACATCAGCAGGCGCGCCCCAGGACTGACGGACTCGTCGTTATCCCCGCCTGCAATCCCGGCGCCGCGCGCGATTGGCTGTCGCCGCCGAGAGTCCTCCGTGCAGGGCCTGGGCGGCACGGACGAGGCCTGAGGCGGCGGCGCGAAACAGGTGAGGTTTGGAGAGCGGGCCGGGCGACGGCGGGCGTCGGGGAACACCGGGGTCCTGGCTCAGGGACTCGGGGACAGTCCTTATGGCAGCCCAGTGCGTGGGCGGCGGGGACGGCCCGAGTTGGGAGCCACCAACTGGCCCCGACGCGCGCGGTACTCCTCGCGCAGCCAGGCCGCGCGCCCGGGAGTCCGGAGTCCCTGGGCACTCTGGTTCCCCAGAGCCCCCGGCTCCTGGTGTCTAGGGTTCCGGCGTCTCCTAAGTCCGGTCCTGGGCGCGCAGGCGCAGACTCCTTCCCACTGGCGCGCCCTGAGCGGGCTCAGGTGTGGCAGGTGCGGAGCAGGGTGGGAGCCCGGCCACTGGTCCCCTGAACACCCTACGGTGGTCAGCATTGCGGGCCTCGCGGCGTGGGCACCGAGCACCTCCAGGTGGTCCTCGGGATGCTTGCCTGCGCCCGCAGCCCATCGCGCTAGACGTTACCTATGCTCGTCCGTTGGCGCTTTGTGGGATGCGTCGCTTGGTGGCCAGTTCTGGAGACTGTGCTCCTCTGTCCTGCCACAGTTTCCTCCCCTGTGCCCACTGCTTCCAGTGGAAGTGCAGTCCTGGGATGTGGGCATCGCACGTCCTAGACAGCTTCCTAATTTGAGTTTCATTCCACTGACTAGGAAATTTGCCTGGCTTTCCCGCCAGTGCACCTGTGTGGTATTTTCACTTGGTTATTCCACACTTTTAGAGCTCCCCAGGACTCTTCCCCTTCCTGAAATCTGGCCCCGTGCTCTTCTTTTCTGTGGCAGGGTGGCATGTAACCCAGGCTGGCCTTGAACTCCAGAATCTCCTATCACCACCTCCCAAGTGCTGGGATTCGAGGTGTACACCACCCAGCCCTGCTGCCTTTTGTTTTTTCCATTGGAATTTTGGATTCCCTGGGGTGTTCCATCCTACCTTAATTGAGAGTTGAGCCAGAGATTTGGAGAGACACTTTCCTCAGATTGGCAGTCTCAGGTTACCTTCTGGTGCTTTCTGGGAGGGATGAAAGGAGACATGGTAGCCAGCTACTTTGTGTATATGTGTGAAAGAGGGGTGAAATTTCCATTTAAGCTGTATGCAGTGTTACACAACCATCTCCATTATCTAGCTCCATCAACCTTTCATCACCCTAAACGGAAACCCAGTACCTACCAAGCAGTCCCTCCTGGGGACTTCTCCCGTTAGCCACCGCTGACATCTGGATTTCCCTGTTCTGGGCATATCCTGTCATGTGCTTGTCTTTTATCTGACTTTTTTTTACTTAAAGTGTCTTCAAGGCTAACCCCTACTGTAGCCTTTGTCCCTATTCCATTCCTTTCTGTAGTTGAATCATTTTCCTTTGTATGGACCCATTAAATCTTTTTTTTTTTAAACTACATTTTATTTAGTGTGTGCGCATGTCAGATGACAGCTTGCAGGAGTCAGTTCTCTCCTACCATGTGGGTCCTGCAGATTGAACTTAGGTTGTCAGGCTTGACAGCAAGCACCTTTACCTGCTGAGCTATCTCAAGACTATTAGATCTTGTTTACCCATGTCAGGACATTCGGGTTGTTCACACCTGTGGGCTAATGTAACTAGTGCATCTGGGAACATTTTACTTGAGCACCTGTTTTCCTTTGTGAGCGTTGATGTTTGTGTGTTTGCTTGCATGTGCATGTGTGTATGCATGTGGAGGCCAGAGGTTGAAGTCCGTGTCTTCCTCAGTCATTCTCCACCTCATTTTTTGCGGTGGGGTCTCACTGGGACCTGAGGTTCACTGATTTGGCTAGAGTGGCTGACCAGCAAGCTCCAGGGATCCTTCTCTCTCTGCCTCCCCAGCTCTAGAATTATAGGTGCAGGCTGCTGAGCCCAGCTGTTTGCCATGGGTGCTGGGATCAAACTGGGGTCCTCATGCTGTGTGGCAAGCACTTCCCTGACTGGACCATTATCTCCAGTTCCTGAGCACCTGTTTTTAGTTCTTGGCTTGTATACCTAGGAGTAGAGTTGCTGGATCACATGGTAATTCTATGTTTAACTTGGTGAGGATCGGCCAGACTGTTTTATACTCTCACCCACAATGTAGGAGAGCCCTACTTTGTCTACATGTTTGCTATGCTTATTTCCTTTTTGTACAATTACTGCCCCCCCCCCCGACTCCCCAGTGGGCATGAAGCCTCATTTCCCAGATTGCTGTTCCCCCCGGGTCCCATGATTGGTTTTTTTTTTTTTTGTCTTTTTGAGACGGGCTTCTTGTAGCCCCAGCTGTCCTGGAACTCATTATGTAGACCAGGCTGGCCTTGAACTCATAGAGTTCCTCCTGCCTCTGCCTCCCGAGTGCTGGGACTAAAGGCGTGCACCACCATGTCAGGCTGATTGTCTATGTATCTTTGGATAAATGTGTGTATGGCTACTTTACTGTCTTTTTATTGGGTTGTCTTTTTTGGGGGGTTCTTTTTGAGACAGGGTCTTCCTGTAGCCCCAGCTGTCCTGGAACTCACTATGTAGACCAGGCTGGCCTTGAACTCACAGAGCTCCGCCTGCCTCTGCCTCCCGAGTGCTGGGATTAAAGGCGTGCGCCACCACGCCCGGCTTGGGTTGTCTTTTTTAGTTTTACAAATTCTCTATACATTCTGGTTAGAAGACCCTTGTCAGACTCATGACTTGTAAATACTTTCTCTCCCCCAACTCAACCCCTGCCTTCCTCTTTTTGAGACAGGATCTCAATATAAATCCCAAACTGGCTTCAAACCTGTGGTCCTCCTGCCTTCTGCTGGGATTGTAGGTGTTTGCTATGACTTCACTTTTTTTTCTATTATTATTTATTGTGTGTGTATGTGTGATGTCATGTCTCTGGGCACGTGTGAGTCATGCTGCATGTGATTTCAGAGGCAACTTTGTGGAGTTGATTCTCTCCTACCATTACATGGGACCAAGGGATTGAACTCAGGTTATCAGGCTTAAGTGGGAAACTTTGCCCACTGAGCCTTCTCATCACCCCACCCTTTGAAATCTTGATGCTCAGATTGATAAATTGCACTTTAGTTCTTTTCTGTAGCTGGTAGTACTGGGAACCCAGGCCATGAAGACTCACTTTGTGTTCTTCTCCAAGTTTGATAGTTTAGTGGCTATGTTTAGGTCTTTGACCTTGAGTTCATGTGTGATGGTGGTGGGAGTCTAACTTTATTCTTTTTGTTTGTTTGTTTGTTTTTGGTCTTTTTGAGACAGGGTCTCTCTGTAGCCCCAGCTGGCCTAGAACTTGGTACTTAGACCAGGCTGGCCTGGATCTCAGAGAGATCCACCAGCCTCTGCCTCCCAACTATCCCAACTAACTTTTTTCTTTTTATGGAAGCTCAGCTGTTATAGCACTGTTTGCTGAAGAGATTCTTTTCCCTTCAGCATGATCAAGCTCCCTGTCACTATGGGTTGGCCTGTGCAGACATAAGCGTCCGCCTCTGAGCTCTGAACTCCGATCTGTCAGTCTCTGTGTCTGTCCTTGTGCCAGTGCCAGGACACCCCCCCGCCCCCCGGCTTGTAGTAGATTTTGAATGATTCCTCCTGCTCTGTTCTTTTTCTGTGCAAATGAGAGGTGGCTTTTCCAGTTTGCAGAAAGGGCCATTGGGGTGTTGACAGAGGTTACAGTGCATCTGTGGGTTCCTTGGGGAGCCCTATCCTTGTCAGGAGAGTCTTTCTGCCCTTGCACTTGGTTGGCCTTTGACATTTCCTCCAACAGTGCTTGTGGCTGTCAGTGTACAAGTCTTGCACTTGTGTGGCTAGAGTTATTTCACTTTCACACTGTTCCTGGCTCTTGTATAGAAGTACAGCAGGCTTTGTGTGGGTCGACCTGCAACTTTGCTGAATTCCTTAGGTCTCATAGTCACTACTGTGTGTGAAATCCCATCATCTAGAGTGGCGGTTGTGTTAATTTTCCAGTGTGCCTGCCTTTTCTCCTTTGCTTGACTGAGTGCTTGGCTGGAGCTTCCAGGAGTGGAAGCTGCTGCCACCAGCCTTGTCTGGCTCCTGATCTCAGGGAAGCTCCATCTTCTCACCTTTGGGTGTGATGTCAGCTGTGAGCTTTTCCTGGATGCCTGCATAGTGTTGAGGAACTTCAGTGGTTTATTGAAGAGGGAAAAAAACAACTTTTTTTCTGATGGTTTCTAGTCCAGAGACTGTATAGCTAGGATGACCCTAAACTTCTTATCCTCCTGCCTTTACTTCCAAAGGTGCTATTTCCTTGACAGCTGTGTAGTATCATGCCCAGGAACCCAGGAGTTTATATATGGTGGGTGGGCAGTCTACCAGTTGACCCCCCCCCCAACCTTTTATTTTGTGAGGCAGAGTCTGCTATGTAGCTTATGCTAGCCTCAGACTTGGGAGTCTTTCTACCTGCCAAGCTGGGATTGCAGATGTGTGTTGCCATGCCTGGCTGGTTGAGGGTTGTCATGCATGAAGGGGCATGCAGTTCTTCAGTACATTTTCTGTACCCACTGAAGTGATCTTGTGGTTTTGCCTGGGGGCATCTCCAGCAAACTTTTGAATGCCCCTCCTGCTACTTTATGGGTTTCCAGGTATTAAGTGGGTACTACTAGTTCTTAGTCCTTGGGGTTCTTTTTTTTTGTAGCCCCAGCTGGCCTGGCACTTGCTATATAGACCAGGCTGGCCTCACAGAGATCCACCTGCCTCTGCCTCCTGAGTGCTGGGACTAAAGGCATGCACCACCATGCCCAGCTAGTCCTTGGGATTCTACAGTGGAAAACTAGGTACTAAAGGTATTCCCCATGGCAAAAGCTCATTGGGTATTTTGGGTTCTAGTCAGTTCTCATTCATCTGACTTCCAGAAATTTCCTTCTGTGGCTCTTTCCTATTCTTCCCATGCATATTTGCCTTTGTGTGGAATCGGATATCTGTTCAATACATTTTATGTATATATGTATGGGGGCATACCATGGCACCCATTTGGAAATCAGCACAGCTTGTGGGAGTTGGTTCTTGCCTTCCA